ACCATCTCCTCTCAGTTCAGCACAGCTGAGGAACGTGTGGGGGTATCCAGCCAGGCCCTGCCTGTCCATTCAGCCCAGAGCTGGGCAATGGAAAGGTCACCCCTGCCCTCCCCCAGCAGAACCAAGCACTCTGTTCCAGCACAAGAGGACTGCAGTGAGTGCTGAAAACAAGAGCTGAGCAAACAGAGAAAAGAACAAAACCCTTCTTGCTGCACTCAAGGACACACATCATTTGTGTGCAGAAGCACCTTCTCCTGCCTCAGGTCCTACCGCTCCACGTCTCCAGCAGCAGCTTTGGGCGATTCACCCCGCCAAGGTGCTCCATCCACAGAGCCACAGAGGATGTGGCCGTGCCCAGGAGGGTGACACRMRTGGTGGCCTTGCYGTGGYGKGGCAGAGCCCAGCCGGCCACCGGCRCTCTCCTCACCCAGCCCTCCGGGGAGCTGAGCAGTCCTGCTTTTCCCTGGATATCTGGCACACCACAAGAGCATCTCCATTGCCAATTAGGCCACCCACCCACTTGCATCCTTCCCCAATACAAACCCTGYTAGCAGTAAACAAACAGTGGAAATGCCAGCCAGTGCCTGGAGAGAGTCCTCGACAGCTCCATCCCATTCGGCGAGCGTGGGAACAGCTGCCTCGGACAGCCCGGGCACAGGGAAGTGCCAAGCTGGACCAGGGCATGGCCAGGCAATCCACCAGCCCTCCTGTGGCCTTCTGGCCATTGTCTGGGATCAACCTTGTCTGCTTTCAGCATCGCCCCAGCACCAAAAGCCTTGGTGTCCGCACAGCACACAGCACTGACACGATTCAGCACTGTAATAAGAGGCTTTCCCAGATACTGAGCCCCAAGCTTCCTAATTTTCCATCTCTAGAGTTTTGTAGGAAAGCTCCTGCTTGACACCGAGACCCAGCTGGACTTGGCCCAAGTGGCCAAGCTGGATGTGGCACAAGAAATACAAATTCCACCCAACACTGCTCAGACATCTTCATCCCCCATAAGAATTCCATCTCTTCAAGGCAATGTGAAATCCTTCCTGTGGTGTACCCCCAGAGCCCCTGGACTAGATCAAACCCCAGAATGAGCAATGGGAACATTCAACCCATCAGCAGACTCCAAAGAAGCCTAACTTGCCACTCCAGAAACTCCTGAAACCACCACCATCACACTTGGACTCTCAGGGACACTCAGGGGCAGAGATGACCAGGGTCATTCTCCACCTTGACCTTTGCATCTAAGGACTTTCCATCAGGCCAAACCAGGGCTATGATGACTTTTGGGATTTGCCAGGATGGGTAATTAGCTAAAACCTGCCCGGCTTCAGTGATAAGAGAGGAGCCCACATCCCCCCAGTGCAGGAGAGGCCACACTCTTCCCGTTCACCAGCCTCGCCAGCGGCTCAGGATGTGCTGATGCATCCACGGTTCATTGTCATGGAGACCAGAAGAGTTTTATCTCCAAACCCAGCTTAATGGCTTGGATTAAAGCCACCATTCCCCTGGGAAGCACAGAACAGGGACAGTGGCATTATCCCTCTTCCTTGGGTTCCCAGACAGCCCATCCTCACCAGCCTGCGTCTCCCTCCATGCTGGGCACATCCTGCTGGGCACAGCACAGARGGGCTCTGTGTCCCTCCCCAAACCCATCCCAACCCCACACACCCCACCACAAACAGCCTGGACTCAAACACATTTTCCTAGACCCTGCCACGTCTCTCCCCTCTCACAGGTCCCAAGAAGACCCCAGTGACCATTTCTCCCAGGTGACTGAAACCACAAGATTTTCAGCAAGGGGAAATGACAATAATAATAAATATTTTCAAGGGTGTTCCTTTCCCAGCTCCCCAGGGAGAGAAGGAGCAAGCACAGCCAGGGAGCAATCCATTGCCATGGGGCAGGCAGGTGGGGAGGGGATGGAAGCAACACTGGGACCAACCCTGGGTGTCAGAAATGTGTGACAGGCACAGCCTAGAGTGAATGACCACGGCTCACTTACCCTGACAACACTCCCAGGACAAGGTTGAGGACAAAGAAGGATCCAATGATGATGAGGGGGATGAAGTACAGCCAGTTCCAGGTGGCTCCTAAGGCATCATTGGTCTGGAGGGGAAAGAAAACAAGGTGAYGTTATATTCAACAGCAGCAACGGGGCAGAAGGAGGGTGTGTTAACTTCAGCACTCCAGGCTGACCACACCAGGCTCCTCAGGGCCATGTGGCCATGCCTGCCAAGCCTTGCTGGGCACCCTGCACCCCAGGACYGCTCTCTGTCTCCTCCCACCATCTCTGCAGAGACTGTAGGACATGGGTGCAGCTGCAACTGCAGGGTCCTGTGACCTAAAACTGGGGTGCTGAGGGCGAGGGACCACCCTGAGCATGTTTTTCCCAGCAGTTTGACTCAGTGCTCCCCTGCACATCCACCAGGACGGAGCAAAGCTGCCCCACAGCCGCARTCCCCACTGAGCACAGACTTATACAGAGCCTTAAGATCAGAGAARGTGGCATCTGAAGAACAGGAGAAGAAAAGGCAGCCGATATTTGTTCCTTCATGCATGGTGGGAAACCTTCAAACAGGCATTTTGCTGCTGGCATCATCACTAACACCTCGCAGATATCCTCCCACCCCGGGTACGTCCCTCCAACCCGAGGAGCTGAGATCAGACGGGAGCTCCGAGCGCAGCCCAACAGCAGCAAAGGCTCCTGATGAGCCCTGCTTAATACCTCCAGACATTAATTCACCGGGGTTTTTAATAAAGCAGTGCCCCTCTGTCCCTCCCAGCCRCCTCCCAGGCCCCATTTGTCCTCTGGTGTCAGGCACGGTGCGCATGACGCCGGGCTGAGGGTGATGCGGCAGAACGTGACTGTCTGGGGGAGGTGGTATCAATCTTCCTGCAATGAAAGAAGACTCCTTCTCTTTTCTCTCTCTTCCCCCCTCTCCCTGTGCTAATTAAGCCCTCATCTTCATCTGAGTCATTGGCACCACGTCTCCTGGTCGGCCAGTGCAGGAGCTGGGATGAGGMTCTGGGWTGGGAGAAGCRCRATTCCAACGAGGAAAGAAAGGCCRGAGTCTTCCTCCAGTGGGAATTTCAGCTGGGTGACCCCATCACCCTGACACTGGGCACAAGRCAGGGAGGGTGGCACCAGCACACTCCAAAAGAGGCACTGAGCACAGCAYGGGACAGGGGATGTGGGCAGAGATCTCAGTGACAAGGAGCACYTGGCAGACAACAGCAATAACAGCTCCAAGGTTGGGAAAGCATCTGGARGGACTCAGTGCCCTCATCTTCTCCAAATCCTGCTCTTTCAAGAGCCCCAGTTCACCTCCAGCCACTTTTTTGGGGCCACGGAGAAGCAAGCACAGGAAGGAAGGAAGGATGGATGGGAATCTTGGACAGCCAATGTTCACACCAGCCCTCCAGAGACACCCAGGCTGTGCTCTTCTCTGMCAGCACCATCTCCATGGCATCAGCCTTCAAGGCACTGTGCAACCCTTAGCCAGAGTTTGGCTGGACTTCAGCTCCCTGCCAAGATGCCACTGGGCACCCATCACCCATGCCAGGATTGCTGGCCTTTCAAACCGGCTCCTGCCCACAAATCATGGGCTTTCCCCGAGGTCCTTGTCACAGGAACRCAGAGCAGAGGAGCTCCTTTCCTACAGGAGAACAAGATGAGAGCTGGGCCATCACCACCCTCCTTCAGCCATCTCAGCAGGAGAAGGAGGCTGAGATGGGCATGAGGTGACACAGCACAGAGCAGTTTCCCAGGGTTATCAGTGCCCAGACCACCTCTTCCCTCTCCACTTTGCAAAGCTGGTGGCACTGGGGACCTGCAGTTGGGAACACTGGGGCAGGGGCTTGGCAGGGYTCCCATGGGGTGGGCTGGCTGTGATCCCAACCTCTGTGTGCATCTGAGTGCCCAGCTCCCGGGGAGAAGGAGGCAAAGGGGAATAGAGGGGTTTTTTAAGGGGATTTGGGACATCACATGGCCAGCAGCACCTGCAYCCAGCAGCTGTGGGGTAGAGGAGGGGATGGGGAGCTGCCCCATAACTGGACCCAGCACTGGCCACAGCAAGCTCAGGGAGGGTCTGGGTCACCCAGGCTGAGGTCAGCAGCCCCAGGACCAGCATGGGTCCTCCTGGATGGTGCCAGCTTTGCTGGGATCCCCCAGCTCAAATGTAAGATTTCCCAGGGCACATCCCAATGCTCCCCACAAACACAGGAACTGGTGATGCCCAGTCAGGATGCAGTGGCTCCAAACCATCGTCTGGTACCTGCTCGGCCACTGGGGCTGCCAAAAACTCGCTGTCCCCACTGGAAGCCTCCTCCAGCAGATGCTCCAGTGGTTGCTGTAATTTCCAGCCTGAATTTATTTGTGGTCATTTTCTATACCACTCTGTTCTTTTGCCAGCACTGGCCTTTGGCTGAAATAGCTCTTTCTCTTCCTCCTTCCCATCCTGAGCTATTTCTAGACAGCAATCACAGCCATCTCCAGCCTCTGCTGGCCAAAGCRAGGTTCTTGCAGTTCCCTCTTGCCCAACTGGCTCTCCTGCCCTGTTTTATTTGGTAGCYCCTTCCCTGCTCCAGCCCAGGCTCAGTCCATCACCCCTGGCCTGGACACAGGAGCCCTGAGTGACCAATTTGATGGGTCACACTCCACCCCTGCACGATGCCACAGAGCCTTTGCAATCCTCCCTCCTCCTCCACATCACCCCTGCCCCGCAGTCACCTCGTGGTCACCCTGACGTCACCTGTCCACCCTCTCCTCCTCCACCCACTCAGCGAGGCCTGAGCTCCAAGGAGAGATCTTTGCTGCACCTCAACAAGCTCTTGGATTTCCATTTCTCCCTGCATCCCACACCTCCTCCTCCCAGCCCGGGGTGGCAGCTCTGTCCCTTCAGCTCGGAGAAGCCAGTGGATGCTGGAAGCAGGGAAGCCCATGGCTCATCCCCAAGGACTCAATGACATCCCCTGGGTCCCCCCACAAGCCCTGCTCACTTCCCTGCCAGCCTCACGGAGCTTCTCATCCCCTTCCCCTCTTTCCCTCTCCATCACCACTTCCCCACAGCCAACCCTTTACTACAAGGAACAGCTCCACCATGTTTCCAGGCCTCGGGTGCCAGGTTAGCCCRGCGTGACCTACCTTTGGCAAACCCATGATTCATTTCCCTCTCTTGCCTCCCAAATCTGTTCCGAAATGGCATGCGATCGAGGTCAGCCTCACAGTCCTATTCCTGCCTGCCTTACTTTTCCTCCCCTCCTCCCCCCGCTTTTAAATATAGGCACCGCATTCGCTATTCTCCAGTCAGATGGTGCCTCCCCCAACTCGATGGAGCTGTTAAAAATACTTGTTACCAGACCTGCCATTTCATGTGCCAGCTCCCCTCCGAGCACGGGGGGGATGCCACCCTGAGCACCCCCGGGCTGGTGGCTGCGGTGGTCTCAGCGTTGGGCTTCCAGACAGCCGTGTCCTCCTTCCTGCTATCCAGCTTTTATTTGCTTTGTGTTGACCAAAAGCTGAGCTGAAATATCCATCCGTGCCCAGATCCTTCCAGAAGCCATTTCACTGGGCCTTGCTTCCATCTGCAGAGGTGGGGAACGGCTCACTGCTCCTCCACGAGGTCTGTGTCAACAYGGCTTTTGGTGGCCCTCATAGCACTTCCCGATTTTTTTGGCACCGAGATGTAGTTGTCTTGACTGAGCAGCCTCTTTTCCYGTTCCTTTGGGGCACCATTTGCTCTCAATATTCTTCTGCAGGCAGTAGTTCATCACCTTGGTCCACTGTGCCTTCCCATAGGTTTTTTTATTTTGCCCTTTGCTGAAGACACCAGGAGGTTGTTTGCAGAATTTGGGGATTTTAATCCCTAAATTACACCAGCACTAACTCCTTTAATGATGACATTCCTGGTTCTTCCTGCCCTTGCTCCCAGGGCAGCTGACGAGGCCCCATCACTCACCCAAGCTCTTTATTATTTTCCTTGGGGAAATGGAGGAGCTTGCCGATTCCTGATCTTTGCAGTTTCTTCCCTTCCCTTTAAGAGACTTCCTTCTCCTACCAGCGTCAATCACCGCCCCCCAAACTCTTCTGTGGCCACCAGACCACGAACCACCACACTCTTATCTCGGCACAACCCATCCTGCTGCCAGGAAAGCCCTCTKTGCCTATAAATGGCACTGCCAGGCTGTGGGAGCAGGACCCTCCTCACCTTCTCCCCCAGAGAAAGAGCCCCCACCAGCTCCCGCTTCTCAACCCCCAGGCACGAGGTTATTCTTTAGGCAGCTCTTGTGGTGTTTGTTTGGTTTTTTCTCGGTGGTTTTCCCCTTTCCAAAGGGCAGGAAAAGGCGCAGGAAGCTGCAAAGGCAGGTCTCACTCGGGGGGCCAGGAATCTAAAGGGATCTAAATATATCCCCAAGTTGAATGCACAGCACAAGCGCGCAGCCCACACGTCCCCTCCCTCGGGCTGCGGCGCATGGGAACCTTCAGGATTTCTTCGCTATAGGGGAAGGGAGGGGAGGAAAACCTCAATAAACCCCTCAAACTCAGTCTCTCCCAGCTAAAAATACACAGGGAGCAGGYTCTGTCTGTGCAGGGAGCCTTAATGGCCACCCATGGCTCACCGGCTTGGGGAGGGGAACTGGGGACCTGTGAAAACCCAAAGCTTTTGGGGAGCAGCTGGATGTGGGGAGCCACTGGATTTCAATCACACAGGGATTCCTGGAATGGGTTGGGCTGGAAGGGACTTTAAAGCTCACCTGGTTCCACGCTCCCTGCCATGGGCAGGGACACTTCCCATCATACCAGGTTGCATCCAACCTGGCTTTAGACACTTCCAGGGATGGGACAGCTCCTCTGGAACCTCAACCCCCTCACATGGAAGAATTTCTTCCTAAAATTTGATCTAAATCTATTCTCCTTCAGCTTAAAGCCATTCCCCATTKTCCCATCAAGACCCATGCTCATGGACTCTCCAGGGTCTCCTACATGGTCATTACTGCATGGAGTGGCCGTGGAGCGCTCAGCAGCTGTGGAACATTGGGGGAATCCATGGGACTTCCAGCAGCATGGGTGGCACCATCCTGTTCCCATTGCTGTCCTCTGCCAGGAT